CACTTCACTGCATTTTCAACCAGTAATTCACATATACTTCAAGGTACGCAGTCACTTACATGTGTTACCGTTGCCGACCGGTGATGTAAAGTGGATTTAGAACACGGCCGTTTTCCACATCACGTTGTTGGAATTATACTCTTCCGAATGCCTCTATTCCCACAGCGCCTCAGTGCACAGTGTTACGTGAGCTTTCGAGGTTTGGGTGTGTGGTGCGTCCGTTGTGCAAACTGATTTTCCCGCACTTTTTTTTCTACTGCCCACCTTCCCATTGATGGCGTGTTTCCTTTGACTTGGTAAGAGCTGTTTAAAGAGAGCGCTGCGACATGAGAGTCGTTCTGTTAGAACCAAAACGGTGAATACGCATCAGTGCACATGGACAATAAGTACATAACAGCTGCACGCTGTACGGCATGTAGTGAACAGTCACTTTGGTTCCAAAGTCTGAAGTTGACGCTACTCAGGTTACAGATGATTTATAAAATCGTTGTTCAACATTAAATTAAGAGCTGAGTGCATGTTCTCAAGGATGCGCATATTCCAATAAGCTGACTGAATTCATAAAAATAGATATTAAAAGAATCAACAACCATTCCATGTATGAGAAAAGCGCACTCTGTTGTCTATGTTCGTCATTTCTTCTTTATTGGCTATTTATTGCTTCGCTGCCGAATCCTTGTGAACAGTCGTGCATTCAGAGATACAAATGCTTTTCCAGTGCTCTGTTTTAAGATGAAGATTACACCCATCAGTGTGTTCATAAAACAGTCGTGGTGGGATGGACCCATCTTCGACGGTGTCTCGACGAAAATTGACACAAGCGGATAAAAACAAGCAGCCCTAATGGCCGCTCGCCGCATGGAATTTTATTTATATTATCTCACGTCTTTCCTCTCTGGGCCCGCTGACTCGATCAGGGCTCTGCTTTCGGAAAATGTGAGGTCGGTTGGTTCGAGCGATTTGCCGGTTATGCACTCCCCCTTACCCGCGTGCATAAAGATGCTGTTAATGCCTGGTTAGAGTGTAAGAAACACGCGCGATTTTTTTTTCGCACTCTCGTTTTTATTTAAATGGTGCAGCAGAGATGAGCTTCTCGTTCCGTTCCCTGGGGCGAGTTTACGTTGTGTCTTCGTTGGAGGGGGGGGGGAGAATCCGTCGTGCCAACTGCCGACGCTGTCAGATGAATTTCAGTCGAGGGGTCTTGCCTGAGCTGGTTGACAGGCCGTGATTTCAGCACGACGGACGGTCTCTGGAGTCATCGGATCTTCGAGTCGACGCGGCACATTAATATTTGCTTGGGAAAATTAGATATAATGTTGTCGTCATTTTTTAAGGACCTGTGCGCTTTTTCCCTTTCCGAAGAATAAATCTAGTCTTCGGCAATCGATACGTTGCCATGGTAAAGAAAGACCAGCCGATATTTTGGGTGCATCCGAAACCTTCGAGCACGGACTTGGGTCTTTTGTTGATTTGGCACATTTTCCTATGCAATACGAAGCGAAATCGATGGTCATTTTGCACCAGTCTGACAGCATATTAGTTTATCTTGCTCCCACGAACAGGCTATACATTCGTCGGGGGCAAATCCGACTGGTGAGTTTCAGATAGGTACCCGGTTCATGTTTTCAGTCAAAGAAGTCCAAATTGGCAAGACGAGCCCTTGCTGTCGCCGCTGTATATATTTATACAGAATTCGCCTTCATTATATCGGAGGTAGGATTTCTGCAGTGGGACGGCGGCATAATTATGGGAGGAGATGCCGTAACTGCGGTGAGCGTGTGCACCTTGGCAATCCACAGTATCCTACTGGTCAAAAAGAAATGAAACGCACTCGTACCAACTGCAGGCAAGCGTGGTGCAAATTAATGCACAGACACGGGTCTAAATGTGGTCGCCGGATAATTCTACACGAAGAGAGACCATCTTATCGATTTGTCCCTTTTCCCTGATAGAAGAGTAAGTCATTTTGCCGACACTGTATACGCATTCTTGGTACATTTACCCTCCTTTCAAAATCCAATTTTCGTCCTCAGCCCTGCGCTTCTTCCGCTTGAGGGCGCTGAAGGCCAACAAATCGCAATGGTCAAGTGTAAGAAATGGCCCCTCAATAACCTGTCGCCATCAAGGTCGACTGCGTTTTCTCTCCCAAATTGTGGTAAGATGTCGAGAGTACCGTGCCTTACTCCGACTTCTTCCAGGTCAAAAACGATCAGAGAAATACCTTAGCTAAGCGGGCTCCCTGCATCTTCAACCGTAATATTTAGCGGAAGTTACACCAGGTACAAGGATGTCGTACTGAGGGGTACCTAATCTTTGAACTCTGTCGAAAGAAAACTTTGCTGTGGGTGTCAACTTTTTCACGTTAACCACTGGGGAGACGACATGTTCTTGAATTCTAAGAGGGCAAGGGTTTTTACCGTTTCACCGCTGTAGACCTTTACTACCCGTGTTTTATTTCATTCTGGCAATGTTTTCATTAAAACTCTGATTCCTTTAGAATCGATTCGCTTAGAATCATCCAGACTTTACACAGACACGAAGTTTCAACCGTATCAACAAAGACATTACTAGTCGTCGGTATTCCGTAAAAGCCCTTACCAACTTCGCCCGTCTCCTTGTTACTTTGCACTTTTCCGTGACCGGTGATCATCCAGCGTCGAAAATGCAGCAATTTGTGAGAACTATTCAAATCCTTTAAAACTGGTACCAAAACGTGAATAAGACGTCCTTCAACAAGTCTTGGAAGCCTGCAAAGGCCGGCACACAAACAGCAAAATTGAATGGCGGTCGTGGGGACAAAAATACACGGCTCCGGCCGTGCTAATGGGTTAATGTCAGGACCAAGGACTTCAAGCCAACTCTATTTCTTCACGGGTCTCCGCGGCCGCGTAAGCGGCCCGTGGCTAAATGGACGTGGCAAGCCAGGTCAAACCATCCGCGGAACCGTCACCGTAAATACCCTGTCGCCTTGTTGGCGATGCCCGCTGGAGTGTACAACACCTTCTAGCTAACAGGTGGCCGATGAGTATTGTCTCCTGGGGGAAAGGTTTGGAACATCCATCCCTTTTGAGTTGTTCGTACACATGGCACTTTCATTCGTCGTATTCGTTCCATTCTTGCGGCCGGGTCAAATCGATACTTCGAAAGTCTCCGATTCGACTGCTATCATCCCGACAGCGATGTTACTGAACTGTGTAACCGCCAGGATGTCAAGACTAACGCGTGGTTTGCATGGCTTTATGTCGTTTCACACACTGTACTAGCGCATTAGCCATCAACAAATCCGGTGACTTGGTTAAGTTGGTTGTTATGTTGTATCTTTAAAAACTTGTGAGCACCACTCAATATTGCTTCCGTTGCAACATTGCTTCCGTTCATCCTGAGCAAAATTTGAAAATAATTCCAAACAACGATTTCAGCCTCCAAGTGCGGGTACACCTCCAACCTGGAAGGTGCCAGGAACAATTTTGTAGGCTGTGTAGTGGATGACGTTCCAACAAAACGCGCACTGACGTCAGTTTGAGGTACAAATAACAAGCAAAAACTCTGCACAGAATAAGGGGGACCGGCGCTATTTCATCTTTCTCGAGTCAGAAAGCTGACTGTGTCTCCTTTATGAACAAGAAATTAAAACCTTTGAGCAGAAATTGTTCATGATGAGTGAAAGAAGTGAAACGACCCCACAATGCGACGTAGACCGTCACACAGGCGATCTGGGGGAAATTTGTACCCGCAATAAAAAGACATCGAATCCCCAATTATTAGAGAACTATGATCTAGAAAAACACAAACACGGTACAGTTTTGAAAAATAAATTGAAATCAAAAGGTTATTGGGAGTCACAAAGTGGTTTTTGGACTTATTTTATCAACAACAAAACGCCACGAAGTTGTTCCAAGATATGTCTGGGAAAAAATGTAAAGACCTTCCTCTGTATCAGCCAGTTCCTGCATGATATATATCTGTATTTTGCAACGTACAAGTCGCAACTGCTTCTAAAATGTGACTCTTTTGTCGGGGAAGGAATAATTATCAGGGAAAGAAAGCTTCCACATTGCTTACTTGGCAACAATATGCCATGGAGGTATTGATGAATATATCGATATCCCGTTGCGTTAATGTTACGCAACAATTCTTCCCGCGATGAAACGGTGGAAAGACGACTCCCAACTTTCCTGTCCTGAATAAAAACAAACTAGACAAAGATCTTAATTGTAAAGAGTGGTGAAAAAAATGCACAGGGCACCACTCGGTATTTCGATAGCGTCAATTGTTGAATGACATGAGTGAAGCCATCCGGAGCGTGCCTATGGCATTCTCCGAGTTACGTGATACGATCCACCAAGGGCCTGAATGTCGATTCAATATTACAGTGGAGGCTCGCCAGCATCGAAGTCCCCTTTCAAGTCAAGCTTTCTAAACAGAAAAACGTCTCGAAAGTTCCCCTTTTTTGAGAAAAAAAAAGAGAAATGATCCTCGTCGAGCTTTAGAAGTATCGGATTCAATCGATACCTTTTTTTTCTTTTTCAATTGGAATTTTGGTAAGCCAGGAAAGTGAACCTAAATATAGCGCTTCAAGATATTTTATACTTCCTGCTAGAATATAGTACTGGAAAGACGCCAGCAAACTATTGGACTCTAAACGCACTAGTTGAAGCAAACAGAAACAATTCATGCTTGGACCAAGCCCCACCAGCTGCAAATCCTGATCCGAAGAAAAACCTCAAGGCGATTGAAAATTGAGATCAGAAGCACTGTAGGCTGGTTTCTCGTAAACCTTGTCGTTAGTTTACGCAAGGATTGCAGAGGGATCCAGTTTTCTTAATGTCGTTCCTGTATTGAAGAGGAGAAGCAATAAGTGGTGTTCGCAATGTTTTAGTCTGTGCATGCCTTGCCAAAAATGTGGGTAGATTTGCTCTGTGTAAAATATTTTGGAATCAGTCAAAAGTAAACTTGTAAATTTATGTCAGGGCTTCGGTATTCACGTATTAAAGCTGGGTTTTACAAGGCCCTAGAAATGTCCGTAGGCCCTGCGAAGGGACACTGCCTGTTGTGCCGATTGGATGATCCGGTCTTGATTTACGGCTCAAGGAAGTGGGTCGCTGGGACTTGATCTAGTTTCCGTCCAGTCGGGATTCTCATCTGCACCGAGTTATTACCGAGGCTGCATGTTGGTTCATGGGAAGTGAGACTGGTCTGTAATGAGATCATAATGGGATGGCGCAGTGAGCAACTTCGAACAGGAATGGATGTGGACGTGGGCTATCTCTCGGAGGCAACCCCACGCACGGCGTGCCTAATCAAGCAGCCTATTTTCTATAAGGGACGGGCGTTTGCGATTCACGGCGCCATAACGCCATCTATCTTTCCCTGGGAAGATGCACGTGCAGCCGGGGTGGACCGTGCGGAATAACAATGTCACGTCTCCCCGTAACTCACTGCGCGCTGTCAGTGTCAGCGACCGATCCAGGGTAAGCAGTTACTCATTAATGTGACTTTCAAGATCCCCAGATCCTCGACCCGGTGCGAGATTTCCCGCTCAAGAACTCGTTTATATAATAAATCGAGTTTTCCCTTGGGGAAACGTAAGGAGGGGTTGGGGTGGGGGAATGGGGAATCCGTGATTCAAAAGGAGACTTTTGAGGAAAAACAAATTACAGCGAAAGCAACCTTTGCAGTGACAACGAAAGAAGCAAACCAAACTTCATGGCAATCTGTGTGGCTCTCTTGCCTTGTATAACTGGTTGTACAGTCTTACCCACGGAACGACAACACTCATGAGAAACCGAGAGTAGTCATTTAAAAGGTCACGGAGAAACTCATCGCAGTATCTTATAGCAAATCGAAGCCTAACAGAAAATTTAAAGGCCCTTCATTGGAATTTGGTTTCAAGTGATTCCGATAATATTTTAAAGTGGCACAGAAACTGATACAATTAAACAGTTAACACGAGGCATGTAGTGAGTGACCTCAAGAAGAGGAAATGACTTCAATTAGTCTAGGTCTAAATCACAGCGAACACTTTTGCAGCCTTGACGCCATTCCTTCAAAACGTGATTTTATTCGTTTTCAATTTGGTCTGACAAAAACCTCTTTCCCACTCACACAATCTCCGAAATTTATAAGAGATTTGTACTGAATTTTTACTATTCGTCTGCCTTCGCATCAAACAAATTCCAAACTGCACACTCAAGCACACTTAAAATTCACTGAGACCTATCGTGTTCTCGTCTTTAGTTCATTTACACGGTGTTCCTTCTGAAACCTTTTTTCTCTTAAACTGTCTTCCTTGAAGTTATTGTACGTCTCTGTATTGTTCCAAAGACAGTTGCATAGATGTTATAAAGAGCGCGTTGCGGGAACCTGCGCGTTTAGGCCGATCGAGTCGGAGAAGGCTAGTCGAAAAGGGAAAACGGACCATCGGCACTCTGTGGAGCCACTTTACTCAGGTCATCTTGACCTAGTTGCGTAAACAGAGTGGAACATTCCGACCGCGCTTCCAGGCACGCGGTACATACTCACCAGTGCGGTACGCTAAGGACGGTCGGCGGAACGAACGACACGATGGACGGGCATTCTCCTCGGAAGTTCTCGGTAACAGTAAACCCCTGATCGATGCCAAACCTCCCGATGTTTGCCGGTAATGTCCCCCGGATTTAGATCGCGAAATGGCTTTTTGCGCTTTTACCGCGCGAGCTTAAAGTCACGTCAAACGCGGGCTTGTTTCCGTATCACAAGGCGAAAATAGACCCCAGAAGTAGCGGTCCTGCTGCAAGATTAGGTTTCATGGAATCTTTATTCGTGTACACAAATCATGGAAATGAAACTGCATCTAGTTTACACGAGATTCCTGAACCTGGAATGTATAACGTCTGGCTCTTGGCACATCTTTTATTTATTCAGAGATGCACCCGTTTAATTGCAAGGAATCCTTTCGTCACATGACCGGAAAAAATGAGGCATATCTACTCTCACAACAATTTTAATGAGAGCCACAAAATTTGTTATCAAGTTCATGTGTAATCAAACACCGTAAACCAATGACATTACTGTGTGACAGTCAGTGAGATCTGTAAAGGCCAATTCCCACGGCCGCGTTAAACTGCGCGTATGCATAACATGCTTGCTCTTTGTAAAGTCTGCAGGTGTGTATAAATGACATTTCTGAGACCTCGTTGACGGAAAGGCTAGTTTGCGTAAGAGGTTGGTCGTGCACTCTTGGTCTAAGTGAAGTTGAATAATTGCTGTACTTATGCTAACTACCAGCTCTTTTTATCATGTCGAAATTTATTGCCAATAATATTCTGGCCCATTCGTGAGTATAATTAATCTTGGCGCCAGCTGGCGTTTGCAGCGTCGATTTGCATAAAACGTTGGATTTTCGGCAAATACTTAACTGCATACAAATACGTCCACGGATTCATCCAGTGAAGCAAACAGTGTCGAAGTTGCCGGAGCATAACGATTTCTGGCATTTTTAAAAACAGTTTGAGTTTTAAAATGGTGGCAAGTAAATGAATGTTCATTCAAATGCAGGTTTAGTTTCCTAAATCGGTGACTGTGAACCAATACACGACTGCTTCAACGAAGGAAACAAAGTCCCGTATGACCACATATTTTGAGGCCGATGGTCAAACTGTCACGGTATTGAATAAAACTGTTGTTAACATGCAAACATCACCGATTTAAAACCCAACGCGACGCAAAGTTTGGCAGAGCAAAAGCACGCCAAATTTACATAGGATATAATTGTGAAAAGGGATTGAGGAATATGTCATTTTGCTCTGAATATCAATTTTTCACAACTTTAGGTGCAACGATGCACAAAATAGTGGAGAAAAAAGACAACACGATCAGCATTTTCAAAACCAAAATAAGCCAAATGTAAAAAAAAACCAAACTTGCGTGTACCGAATGGTATAATATCCACAAAGTATGAAATACACGATTCTAAGTGCGGGCATAAAACTCCGATTTGTAGAAAAGGTTATCGGTACATCGTGTCAATAAATATCGACTGCTTCAAAGTATCGAATAAAACCATCGGTGGCCAACGGATTACTGAGCAAACGAACGTCGGTTATATTCTTGCAAGCCTAAGATAAATGGGATTTGTACGCGGGAACAAAACACTCGAGAATGCAATAACCGCCACCACAGGTCCTCCACATTCATGTTTAACGAGGAGCACACCTTTTTATTAGGAAACACTCGCCGTGCGCATGAATGTCAGGCGGTAGAAAAGAGGTTTCCGATTACGTGCATAGCGGATATTGTCGCCTTCAAGTACATGTACATCGTCAGCTTTTTTTTCTTTTTAGATGGGTTGGAAAACATGCATCGACCAGTTGAGCCCAGGAACACTGTATACAATGTACGCGTTTCGCGATATTGTGGATAGGTCTTCACTGCATTGCAGCAAAAAGCCTTCACGAGTTAAATTT